AACAGTTTAGACTGGGAAATGACGAGCGAAAAAAATATAATCACTGCAAACTGAGAAGAAGAGAACATAAATAAGTAACATATAGAACATAAAAGACTAAATAAAGTAACGATTGAAATGCAAGTGAGATGTTAGAAAATTAGCGAAATAAAGTCAACTTTGAAATCAAGATAGGAAAAACTTGAATTAGGTCAAAAAGGGCGAGAAAAATAATTTTATCACTGCAAAATACGAGCAGGAGGACAGAAATATAACATACGGAATAGCAAAAAGATGGAGATTAAACGAAGTAACAATTGCCACGAAAATCCCTGATGAAAACAATAAGCGCACGTATGATTGATTCTAGATAACATGAGTTATTAATTAAAATAATTATTTCGTAGTTTCTACGCATTGAAAATTAGAAAACATGATATTCTTCTCTCAGATAGTGTCTGCATATTAATATGATGTTTGCAGTTTTAAAATTGAGTAACATGTTTAGGAAAGCTACAAGGAAAATGTAGATTGAGCGGTTTGTATCCACTATTTTAAAGCCATATATCTTACGCTCGTTTTTTTAAGATCAAAAACCATGCATTGAGGTCAAAAACATATGGGTTTCTGTCAATTCAAACAGAAGAATCAGGTTGTGATTCGCGTCAGTCAGTTTATCCCTATTCGACATCGCTATATATTTGAAGTTTTGAAGAGCATAATATAAAAAGTAACCTCAAATACGTTAAACGCGTCAACAAATATAAAATTTTGTCTGTACCAATAGTTTGCCAAGTGACCATAGCTTTTTATGTGACTTTAACGAATTGTTTAATTGCAAAGTTCGAGGTGCGCTTTCAAGAGCCAATATCGCGTCAATTTTGAATCAATCTCTATGACGCCATCACCAGTACAATATATAACGTATTTAACAACAACAGAATAATATATTTAACGTATTTCTAATGTTGTTAATAAATAACAAGGCAAACGAAAAAATATATATTTCCATACACCGTCACTAAATATATACTTCTATTATAGTTGAAGCGCAGAAACATTATCACATGAAGAAAGCGGCCGAACAAAGCAGACTCTCCACTCACATTCCCATCCGAACAACGACCACAACTACAACCACCACTACCACCACCACCTTAAGACCTCCATCAACGGTCCATTTGACAGCTGTTCAATCAATTACAGAAGCTCCGCGTAAGATAACCACGGAATTCTTACCACCACCACAAGCTTTTGTGCCTACTTCCACCATTACGTCGACTACTATCACCACTAGCACCACGCAGAAGAGAACGACGACTAGAAGAACTAGACCTACCACCACTACAACAGCTGCACCACCAAGTAAGTATTTTGAATTATCCTATTTTATTTGGTGTATTTTATTCAATTAGTGACGTCTGAAACTTTCAATGGAAGGTCCAACAAGCCGACATTTTCATGAATCGATGTTCCTATAAAAAGATCCTCTCCAGGATACATATAGGAATCGTTTCTTCAGTCACGTATTGTTCATGTTTGACAATAAAGCTTTCGGTTCATCTGCATTGTACGAAGGTGTATCATATATGTATAAAAGTGACTGATTTATTTTCTAAGTTGTTGCGTTATTCTAAAATATTTGCGGACATATATTATTTATTTACATTAATTTTTTACCATTGTAAGATATTTTTGGACGTTCCGGAACTCTTCCGTTTATTGACTTCCAAGCGCTTTGTTCAGGGGTTCATTAAAATTAAAGTCACAAGATGACAAGTCTGAACTGTAGTTTCAACATTTCCCAATCAAATGTGGCCCCAATTTCCAAAGTAGATGGCATGTTTTATTGATTGCGTATTTCTCTTCCTTTAATAAGACAATTTGCTTCTTTGGACTCGGAATTGTTTTACCCAAGTTTTATCACAGGTTTCGGTCTAATTGAAAAGGTCCTCCCCTTGTTGCTGATCCTGTTGCCAATGTTGAGCTTATGGGCGAAATTCAAGAGCATTAAAAATTAGCCCTTTAAAAGGTTTGAACTTTTCTGACAGCACCCTTTTCAAAACGTTTAGAAAATATTAACCCATTCTAATTCCTTGCTCCATTGGGCTTCTCCCTTTCTTTACGTCCTTGTCTTCGATTTCGATATCAATGGTTAGACACAAATAATAACTTGAACTATTCTTGCAATGTGCAATTAACTTCTACTCAATCATGGCTTCATCATTACGATTAATGTAAGTCAAGTTAATTTATGGTGTATTAGAAACTATTCACGTTCCCTCGGTTGCTGCGTTATCTGCTCTATTTTGATTCGCAGTTTCACTGTGAATCATCAAATGCTCAAAAATCCACGTTTGATTCCTGTCTTTCAACTACTTCTTGTTCGTTTACAACTTAGTCTCATTTTGACTTCTTTTCCATTAGCTGTACTTTCGGTTGTATCAGCTTCCGATCTCTTCACAACTTCTGGCTCCTGGATTTTTTCAGTTTCGACGTTGACTATATCTTTGAGTGTGATCTCGGGTTTTTCTTCACTCTGAGATTCCTCAGATTTTTCTTCATGTTTTAGTAGACAAATAGAGAAAATGATCTCTTTTTGGTATCCTTAGTATCAAACACTAACGTTTGAGGATCAGTCACCGCGATACTAAAGTTGCTTCAGGCATTAGAAACCTCTTTTCCCCTGACTAACGCTGTATATTTCGAAACCTGCTCAGTTTTTGATGAGATAATTAAACGCAAATTGACATGTTTTCACCCATTTTTTCACAATTTAAGTCGTACTTTTTAGGGTCCTGCATTGTTCAAAGGCCACAATTTCCTGATCAGTTCATTCGAGAAGGGAGTTATAAAAGAGTAAGTAGAAAACATAAAATAAAAATTTATGGAAAAATTAATTTGAGTTTTACTTGCACGAGTAGATTATCTGTGAAAAAAATCGTCTTATTGCTCCATGTCATTGTTATGCTCCTTTTATCATCTGCGTTATGGGCGGAGCTAAATACAAATTTTTTTCATTGTACAGGGTTATTCACGCTATACGGCACGGACGTTTGCGGCTAGTCCGTTTGTTTTTTGCAAAGTATTATTTGATGAATCCACAGACGCCTATCGGGTGCACATTTTAAGAATATTTTTGCAATGTACAGAGTGTCCCAAAAGCCCTAAAAGTATCAAAGTTGTGTTTTTCTAAATGAAATACATTTTTTGATTCTCTGAGCAAGATAAGTGTTTGTTTTAATACGACTTATAATGTCTAAATCTAAAGGTTTTTTAAATAATTCGAATTTTATCAAAATCTAATATTATTTTCATGTCTCAAATACTTGCGAATTATTTGTTATGTAAACGTAATTCGTAGTGTAGTGTAACAAGAAATCATATTTTATATCCCAATGATAATGAACTTACCATTTTATACAGGGTGTTCACAAATTTAAACTAATCAAATAAGAAGTTTAAGTGGCTATAACTTGATTAATTTAAATACAACTCCATATTTTTTAGCTTACCAGGAAATGTAATTTTTAATTACCTATCGAATGGTACTACTAGGATGTTGATAACTAAGTTTTTGCCTTTTTACAAAATACACCAAATAATGATTCTGTGGACCATTTGGTGTTTTTTTCAATTAAAAGGTTAAAATTATTTATAACAAATGTTCGAAATGTTGACCGTCCATTTCCAGGCACTTGTAAATTATTTTTTCAAAACCACTGCTAACTCTGGACAACATTTGCGGAGTTACAGTTTTAAAAGCGTCTCTTATGCGTGTCTCCAGATCGTGTGAAGTTGTCGGAAGCGTACGGTAGACAATTCCTTTTATGTACCCCCACAAAACCAAATCTGGTGGAGTTAACTCCGGAGATCTGGGGGGCCAATTTTGAAACCCATTTCTGCCAATCCACCTGTTCTGAAAGTTGGCATTTAAAAATTGCCGAACTTCGCAGTGAAAATGAGACGGAGCTCCATCCAATTGAAGCCACATGTTGGTTCTAATATTGAAAGGGACTTCTTCTAATAATATTGAGAGATGGTTTATTAGAAACTGGAGAAACATCAAACCATCTAGTTGTTAGACACAACTTTCATTGTGTGGTCACGTTCACGAGACCATTGTTATGAAAAGTACATTCATCACTAAATAACACTTTTTCGAAAAACTTTTCATTTTCTGCCACTTTATCTAACACCCACATGCAAAACTCAGTTTCGGCTTCGGTTTTCAAAATCATTTCCATCAAGTTCTTGGCAAAGCTGAATTTTATAAGGACAAAAGTGGTGCTTTTTGATAACTCTGGAAATACTTGATTGACTAATGTTATTACTGTTGGATATTAGATTTTGACTAACATTGGGATTTTCGATAACTGAACCAATAACCGTGTAGACGTTTTCTTCATCTTCAGTGACAGATTTCCTTGTAATGGGTTTTTTATAATTGACACTCCCACTTGCCTCAAATTGGTGTAATAAGCGCTTAAAAACTGTTGGCTTAGGATGATTTCTTTCAGGAAACTTTTGAGCATAAACTCGAGAAGCCAATAATCTATTTTTATGAAATTCTCCAAGGGTGAAAATCTTGTCAATACGCTCTTTTCTTGGATAGATCTTCATTTTCACTTAGCAACACAATGATAATATTAAAATAACGACCAACAGTCTACAATTACAAAAAACAATACCACTCTAGCTACCAAAAAGAGACTTTGCAGTATAAACTGAGAAATAAAATAAATGATTTGACATGTGTAAATGGCACAGGCAACTTAGATACATTGGAACCTTAAATTAAACAAGACCAAATGGTGCACAGAACGACTATTTGACGTATTTTGTAAAAAGGCAAAAACTTAGTTAATTAATATCCTAATACCATTCGATAGGTAATTAAAAATTGCATTTCCTGGTAAGTTAAAAAATATGGGGTTGTATTTAAATTAATCAACTTAGAGCCACTTAAAGTTTTTATTTGATTAGTTTAAATTTGTGGACACCCTGTATAACATGGTAAGTTTATTATCATTCGGATATAAAATGTTATATCTTGTTACACTTCACTATAAATTACCCTTACATAACTTAAATACTTATAAAGTATTTGACACGTGAAAATTAGATTAGATTTTGATTAAATTCGTATTATTTAAAAAACCTTAAGATTTAGGTATTATAAACCTTATTAAAACAGACACTTATTTTGTTCAGCGAATCCAAAAATGCAATAATATACAGAACATTCCATTTAAAAAAACGCAACTTTGATACCTTTAGAGCTTTTGGGACACCCTGTACATTACAAAAATATTTTTAAAATGTGCGCTCGGTAGGCGT